TGCACGTGTTGTCATTCCCCACTCCCATCAGGCTGGTTGAGTAGTTGCAGGCTGCCTTTCCAAAGCAGCCATCCTCTTGGTGCCTTGTGAAAACCCATCTCATGTTGCATTACGTCGACTCCATTCGTCGAGTGGGTCATGTGACTGAATTCAGCACCAACATGTTTGAGCACTTGCACGGACCGTTGGTAAAGAGGATCTACCGTCGGTCCAACAAGCGCAATGTAGATGGGCAGATCATGAAGTTCCATGCTAGGCGCATTCCGGATGTGGTGCCGGTGGACGATCCTGCTGGCCGGGACACAGCCATGCGGCAGGTAAACATGTTTAGTACCTGATTGCATGGATATGAATGCAGAATGTAATAAAATCCTTATCATATGCTGGCAGGCAATTGAGACTGACACACGGACTCTTATTAAGGAGTCATACTTCCTCCCTGTGGAGTTACCAGAAGAACCCACCTCCACCAACTGGTTTGCAAGGAATTGGGCCAAGCAACACCCTGGTGCCCAAGCTGCCCTCAAGGATGCGTTAATACGTTATGCCGGATGCGTCACCAAGATTCGAGTAAGTACTTGAATGTTTGTGCAATCGACCATCATTTGACTGGCCAGTATCAGTGATGACTACCACCAATTGTTATGCAGGCCCATGCATCGCTGGCAATCCCTGTGGCAGACGACGCCAGCTTCTCAAGAGTTTCTCACTTTGTTCGAGCGACTCCTGACTATTTTGAGAGGCCATGGTACTCGGATGTTGCAGTGGAGGGTGTAAGGTATGGTCAGAGAGAGGAGTGGTATGCAAGGTTGCTTATGTTGTTTCGTACAAAAATACGTGGAGAGAGGGAGGAGCTGGCGTACATTAGATATTGGAATGCAAGCGGAGAGGATGCTGCAACACGATGCCTTCGCCTCAAGTGGACGACAGGAATGTATGCGTACTCCGTGATTCCGATTGAAGCGCTGCTCCGCCACGTCCATGTGGTGAAGGCATTCCATCTGGACAGTACCTATCTCCTTAATAAGTATCAAATGTGATGCATGTATCTTGTAATAAAATGGCCAGCATATTTTCCAGCAGTCACCTTTTACAGAAGTCAAAGCTAAGAAAACCATTTACAATTTTACAACTAATTTGGCACGCTCCAAATAAACGACAATGTACCGGAGTCGCGAATTCGATTTCGACTGTGACAAACAAACGCGTTCTGATTTCATCCCGTGATTGGTCGCGTTTTTGTTTCGGAACTTCGCCAACCAAAACACCTGAACTATACCCCCCTTCGAACCCCTTCAAAAACACTGGTTTTTTGTGATGTTATATCCGGGCGATGACGGTAGTTTGCCCCTGCCCAGGGAAAAAGAGTTCGGATTTTCAGACAGATTACCTGTTAAAGCCGTTGGCCCAAATTGCACGAGTTTTAAAAGGTTGACGAGGAGGTAGTTCAGCTTTTTGGCTCTAGCGAGAGGATCAAATTCGTGAAATTCGTTTTTTTTTTTTTTTTTTCGCAACACACTGTTAAAGTCATAGAAGCCATGGCTAGGGTGTGAGAGCTAGGCAAGTGTTGAGGGTGTTGAGAGAGCAAGGAAGAAGTGTTAGAATATGGAACGAATGAATGATTGAACTAGGAAGCAGGTGGGTACAAGTGGCAAACCTAGAAGTGTTGTACCCTATAAGAACTATCCCACTACAGCCTAAACAGACTATAGAATATAAGTTTGACACACCCCCATAGGCAAAGTGGGGGAGAACAAGAGGTCACAAGACCAGTCAAGAAAGGCAAAGCAAGCTCAGGGTGGATCACAAAGTCACCACGCAGTCCGAGCACAAGCAAATGGCCACAAGGCCAGTTCACATGCAGAGTTATATAAAGGAGAACAAACAATACAGTGAACACAACCTAGCAAGTGTAAGCATGCATGTATATGTATGCAGAATACAATACAAGCTGATTCAAGAAGTGAGCAAGTGAGGCACAGTAGGTACAAGGCCTAGAACAGTACAGAAACGCTGATGATCACAAGGCTGAAGTGCCTTGGTGAAAACATCAGCAGTGTTGGCCTGTGAGGCCATGTAAGCGAGACGAAGCTGGCCACGCTGCTGCAACTCACGAGCAAGGAAGTAGCGCAGAGCAATGCGCTCACTAAGAAAGCAAGGTACAAGATATAGGAGCGAGAGATGGCAAAGGGTGCACCACCTACAAGGACTATAACAGTAACTACACTACAGCTATAACTATATGCAGTTATACATAAATATGAAATATATTCTGACACACCCCCTAACTGCATGCAGGAATAGCCATGTGCAGAACACCCCCTGAAGGGGTACACCCTGCGTAGCGGAAGAAGGAGAGGGCAAGTGAGGAGGAGGAGGGACCATGAGAGGAGAGGAGGTGGTGGGCGGCGGCTGAAGCTGCTGGCACACGAGCAACTGGAGCAACTGGCAGACTGGCAAATGGAGCAACTGGCACACGGGCAACTGGAGTAACTGGCTCCGCGGCTAAGCGAGTGGCAGGAGCAACTGACTCACGGGCTACAGGAGCAACGGGCCCACGGGCAACTGGCGCGACGGTCTCACGGGCGACTGGAGCTGCTGGCTTCATTGCGCCCACCCCCCTACAACTTCCCCCATTCCCCAAAACCTCCCTATCACACCCCTCAGCATCCCTACTGCCACTCCCTCAACTCCCCCACACCCTCCCCCCCCCTCCCCACAGTGGCATGTGCAGCAGTGAGAGAGAGGAGGAGAGGCGGCAGCAGTTCACTCACACCCGCCACCCCCATACCCTCCCCCCCACTGCTGCACCTGCAGCAGGGAGATGGAGGAGAAAGGGGGGGGGGCGGGGGGGCTGGTGCTGCAGATCCCCTCCCCCCCACTGCTGCACCCGCAGCAGGGGGATGGAGGAGAAGGGGGGGGGGGGGGGGGGCAGGGGGGCTGGTGCTGCAGATCCCCTCCCCCCCACTGCTGCACTTGCAACAGGGGAATGGAGGAGAAGGGGGGGGGGGGGGGGGGGGCGGGGGGGGGCTGGTGCTGCAGATCCCCTCCCCGCCACCCCCTTAACCTCCAAGCTCCCCCCCCCCCTCCCAACACAAGGTGCGGCAGGGAGAGAGAGAGGAGGAGGTGGTGGGTGGCTGGTGTTGCAGAAACCCCTCCTGCCACCCCCTAGGGCAGCCACCCCCCGGAACCGCACCCCTCTTGCCACCCCCTCACCTTCCATGATCCACGCCCCCAACTCCCTTCCCTCCCCCCCCCCCTCCTTTTCTGCTGCACACACAGCAGGGAGAGGGAGAACGAAGTTGGGGGGGGCGGGTCCTCGGGCGACGAGGCAAGAGGCAACGAGGCCGCGGGCGACAGGTCCTCGGGCAACGTGGCCGCGGGAGACAGAGCCGCAGGGCACGGCGCCTTGGGCAACGAGGCCGGAGCCTAGGGGCGACGGTGCCGACGGGCCTAGGGGCGGCGGGCGCGACGGGGCCGACGGGCATAGGGGCGTTGCGCGACGGGCGACGGGCCGGAACCGGGGCCTAGGGGCGTCGGGCGCGAGCGACGGGGCCGAGGGGCCTTGGTCGACGGGGGGCCGCGGGGCATAGGGCCGTGCCTAGGGGAGCGACGGGCCGGGGGGCCGGAGCCTAAGGGCGACGGGCCTAGGGGCTACGCGCGACGGGCTACGGGCCGGGACCGAGGCCTAGGGGCGACGGGGCCGAGGGGCGACGGGCCTAGGGGCGACGGGGCCGGGGCCTAGGGGCGACGGGCATGAGCGACGGGCCGGGGCCTAATGTCGAGAGAAGGGCCACACGAGGGTGGCGCGTAGGGCAGCAGGTGGTGGGCCCAAAGAGGAAGCGGTCTAGGAACGACCGGCTCTTAATACCATGTTAAAGTCATAGAAGCCATGGCTAGGGTGTGAGAGCTAGGCAAGTGTCAAGGGAGTTGAGAGAGCAAGGAAGAAGTGTTTCACTAAGAAAGCAAGGTACAAGATATAGGAGCAAGAGATGGCAAATGGTGCACCACCTACAGGGACTATAACAGTAACTACACTACAGCTATAACTATATGCAGTTATACAGAAATATAAAATATATTCTGACACACACAGCCAAACCTCGCCTTTCCCTTGGTGGGAACTTGAAAGTCCCAAATTGCAGCTGCACCTTTTTCAAGTTTGCAAGCTACGCAGCATCAAGTTTAAAAGCTTGAATCCCGCAACTTGCAATTTGGGACTCGGGCTTTAAGCATTGTAAACAAAATCTAATACCTTGGTGTGCATCATAGACCATTATGGCTTGTGTCCTATTGCACTATGGTCCACACGGAGGGCATGCAACAACCTGCCCTAGGCAGCTCACCTGGAACAGTAGATAGGCTGCTGTCCCTCACGCACGGTTACGACCGTTTGATGGTATATGATTGCCTGTATCGGTATACACTAGAAAAAAAAAAAAAAAATGGTTTGTGTCATCGAGTAGCCTTTTCTTTCAGAACACTCGCGTGTAGCGAGTTGTCATCCGATTTCGCAGACGCGAAAGGACAAAATTTTGCTTACACAAGTTGGGATGGGAGTGTGACTTCGCGAGTTGGGATGGGAGGTGACTTCGCGACGCCTCGCGAGGGTAGCAAACTCCGGGTGACCAGGCCCACACCAAGCTACATCAGCGGGCGCAGGCTGGAGGTGGGTGACAAGGCATTGTCAGGGCGGGTGACCCGCTCTCACTGTCAAAATCAACGGCTGCTTTGAGTTACCGTTTCCGCTGTTGCCGCTTCAGATTGCGTACAGATCGAAGTCATCGGTGTCGTGCTCGTACAAGGCAGTCGTCTGGCTTCCCAAATCAATGCTGTCAAAAGTGGGCTGGTCCCCACCCGCCAGGACGCCAATGCCAAAACATGGCATCATCATAGTGTGGGGAACCTTCCATGGCGTCCAACTCGGGAACCTACTACTGCCATTCTGACTCACTGAGTCAGCCAGATTTCACCAAGCCGCGTCACAAGTGGTGCCCCTCATGGACGGTTCCGGCTCGGCGTTCTGGGCAGGGGCGAAGGGGCCGAAGGGGCAGCCCTCCGCTTTCGCGCTAGGAGGGGCGGGCGAGTGCCACCGCTGGGCCTCACGTGCTTGTGACGACGGCAAAGGCATCGGCGCCCTCTCGCAGGCAAGAATGAATCCCTCCTCAACGTTCAGTGTTGAAAGCCGTGGTCACGCAGGCTGCTGTTTGAGAAATGACTGTCAGACGCCGCAATTCGTACACACCCGTAAGTTGGAACCAACTGATAAACATCGCACGCGATCGTCTCATGGGACCGATAGTAGGATTCCCGAGTCGTGAACAAGAACATGTCACCTGCAGGCAATGCAACGAGAATACCTTTGTGGCAAACCTAAAAGAACCTGCCACATGGACCCCAGACATGTTGGGATGGGCGGGTCATGGTGAGGTGGAGTTTCTGGAGAAGATGAGGCGACGCCTGGACAGGTGCCAGTTGCAAGTGTACTTTCACTTCCAGACGTCTCAAAATGAATGCTCTGCTTAGCTCAGTGAGCTGGAAAAAGAGGAGTTTGCGGAGAAGACGAGGTGACGAGTGCCCTTGCTGCTTCTCCCCGTTGCCCGTCTCCCACCCCAAGCCTTCTCCCTCCCACTTCCCCCCAAACTGCCATTCTTCCCCAGCGTGAAAGTGTCTTGGCGCGAGTGAAGGTGCGGTTGAGAGCGTGAGGGGGGCAAGAGGTCTGCGCATTTACCCCTTCCATTCTCCCCATCTCCCACCCCAACCTCCCTCCCTTCCTCCGCCTCCCCTCCCGTTATTTCCTAACAAGGGAGTGTCTTTCCTCGGAGCAGAGGTGCGCATTGAGGGGTGGATTGCATCCGCCCCGTGAAAAATTGTTGCGGAATGCAAAGGCGCAATTGAGAGAGAGAGGCTTGCTTATTGACCCTTCCTCTTCCCCCCATCTCCAACCCCTAACCCTCGCAGCGTAGGAGCGGCGTTCCCCGGAGTGGAGGTGCGCTTTGAGGGGGTGAGCGCGTGCGCCAAGGTGCGCTTTGAGGGGGTGAGGGGGTGAGCGCGTACGCCAAGGTGCGCTTTGAGGGGGTGGGCGCGTGCGCCCGTACGCCAAGGTGCGCTTTGAGGGGGTGGGCGCGTGCGCCAAGGTACGCTTTGAGGGGGTGAACGCGTGCGCCAAGGTGCGCTTTGAGGGGGTGAGCGCGTGCGCCAAGGTGCGAGTGGGGCCGAGGGGTGTGCCCTCGCTGCTCAACCAGCTCGCCAACCACGCAGGGGCGTTGCTGAGGGGTCTGCGGCTACTCAACGACCAGCGCTGCATCTTCTTTGCTCTGGATGCCTGCTCTGGCATCCTCAAGCCTGCCAGGTAAGGGCATTCCATTCCAAGCCTACCTGATGCTGTTGACGGAGCCCTGGCTGGTGAAGGATCGGTGCCACCTGTTGACGCTGCCTCCAGATTGAATGGCGCAGTCTCTTCCTCAGCTGGAAAACACCACCCCACCACCTGAACCCCTTGATTCACAGGACGACGCTGCTGCTGGGTTTGCCAAGGAGCGGCAAGTCAACGCTACTCACGATCCCCTTTGAGGCGGCCAATGCAGATCCGCATCTGATTATCACCTCATCACCCTGTCCCTCCGGCTCCTCAACCCACAGGATGACGCTACTGCTGGGCCCGCCAGGCAGCGGCAAGTCAACGGTGCTGAAGATCCTGGCAGGGAAGGCGGAGAGGGTGCTGGGTGTTCAAGGCGAGGTCACGTACAACGGCCGCCCGCGGAGCCAGTTTGTGCTGCCGCAGTCCGTGGCGTTTGTGCCTCAGATGAACTCCCACATGGGTGAGATGACTGTCCGGGAGACCCTCGAGTTCTCCGCGTGGGCGAGATGAGTGTCCGGGAGACCCTCGAGTTCTTCGCGTGGGCGAGATGAGTGTCCGGGAGACCCTCCAGTTCTCCGAGTGGGCGAGATGACTGTCCGGGAGACCCTCGAGTTCTCCGCATGGGCGAGATGACTGGCCGGGAGACCCTCGAGTTCTCCGCGTGGGCGAGATGACTGGCTAAGAGACCCTCGAGTTCTCCGCGTGGGCGAGATGACAGTCTCGCAGCATCCCAGTGCACCTTTCGATGCCTACCGAGAGCAACGTAGCGAGCCAGAAGGCTGATAGGGTACGCGAGGTCAGGTCGTGTGCACGTCATCACGTACATGAGGCAACCCACAAGCTCTGGGTATGGACCACTCGGCTCTACGGACTCGTCCGAAGTTGGAGCTGAGAGCGGATGGCCGGTTGAAAGAGGAGTGGGTTATGGCGAGGAGAACTGGAAGCCGAAGCGTTCAAGGACCTGGTGCACCATGTGTGACCGAGTCAGGGTGATGGTGCGCCGTGCTCTGTCCCGGGTGATCTGCAAGCCAAGATAGCTGCGCAGTTCACCCAGGTCAGTGCAGGTGTGTCTCTTCTGCAGCTCCGACTAAACAAGGGTCAATGCCTCAGTGTCAGCAGTGGCAAAGACGAGGTCGTCGACGTAGACAAGGACGTAGAACAGCGGCAGCAACGTGTCGGTGCCTAGAAACAGCGACGGGTCAGCACTAGAAGGAGCAAACCCAAGAGCCGCAAGTGTAGTCCTCAGTGTGTCTTGCCACTCGCGAGGCGCCTGGCGGATGTTAGAGACTAAGGACGGAGTCTATGAAGATTAAGGGCCGAAATATCTTAAAATCGTCAACTATAATTCAAGACAAAAAAGTCGTCATCACAAGAAACGTCGTCCACGATTAACGCACGATTAGAATTCTCTCAAACTCGAGTATGTTGTAGCCCTTTACCTTGGCTATCTTTCCCAATTTTAATAGTATCAAATTATGGAGTATAACTTGAGTTATGAACTTCGGCGCACTAGGGGGTATGCTGCCATAGAAAACGTAACTCAATAACAATAATCTCACAAGTTCACACAAGAAAGGTAGAGTAGCAATAGAACCAGGTAGGAGGGGATGAGAAGGACGAGAGGGAAGGTCCCAAGGGAGTCCCCAACCAAGGACACCCCATACCACACAATTCCCCTCTCTATAGGCACCCCAACTTTGACATTTGTCACTTTCCCAACTCATGCCAGCCACCTCACCCAACTTGGCCACACTTGCCAACCTGGTTTGGCACCTCCCAACCACTTGGCAGCATCTACAGTGATGTTGACGAATTTCCCAACCCCCAAGAGTCTGTACTCCTTATGGAGTCAACACCACAACTTCCCATAGTCACCACAACCAAATATCAAAAGCATAAGAACTTCCAACGTTCGTAACTTTCTTGTTCGTGCTCCGATTGAAGCGATACTTGGTTCGTCGGAAAGCTCTTGAGCAGAGGAGTCACTTCAGATATCTGCTCAAGCCAAATATCATTCACACACACTCAGAAAAAAACAAAACAACACCAAACACACATTCTTACACACGCTCACACCACGCATGCAACACACGAACATATGATGGGAGGCAGACAGACGTGAATGCAAATGATAGCATCACATAAAAAACTCCCCCTCTGGCTGCCTACCATCATCCCATATGCCATAGCACAAGCATGCACCCTCAATGCACACTCATTCCAGCAAGTTTCATTCCTTTCCAATGCTCATTTTCAGCCAGGCGATTGGTGAGAATGTCTGCCGCCTGCTGATGGGTCTTCACAATCTCCAGCCGCACCTCCTTGTCCAGGAGCCTCCTCACCCAGTGCCACTTAGGCCTGATGTGCTTCGTCAGCCCATGAAGGCAAGCGTTCTTAGCAAGCTTCACAGCCGACTCGTTGTCACAGAAAATCACAGTTGGCTCCTTCTGGCACACTCCGATCTCCTCCAACAAACGCCTCAGCTACACCACCTCCTTTGCCCCATGATGCAGAGACATGTACTCTGTCTCACACGAGGACTGCCCCACCTCGTTCTGCTTCTTGCTGCGCCAGCTCACTGCACCACCTCCAAACAGGCACACATAGCCTCCAATGCTGGTGCCATCCGCCTTCACAGAGTTGAAGCTAGCGTCGGTGTAGCAGGTCAGGAGCATCTCCCCCTTGCCCAAATCAGCTGCACCCCTCTGCAGCCTCTGTCGCACAGCACTGTACTCCAAGCCCACTGATGCCGTAGCGCTCACATAGCGGACCAACCTCTTGGCCGCTTCCAGCTGCTCATGACTGGGGCGTGAAACCACACTTGCAAGCCTGGATGTAGCAAAGGCAATGTCAGTCCGCGTGTGGTTAGCCGCACAATTGAGTGCCCCCACCATGGAATGAAACAGCTTCCTGTCACTCCCACCCACCACCTCCTCATCAGCACAGGGCTCCACAGTGAACCCCGAAGGCAGTGGGGTGGCTGGCTTTCCTCCATCTTGCAGCCCATACTTCTCAGCCAGCCCCTCACAATACTTTCTCTGGTGCAACCTCAACACTCCCTTGTCAAGGTCCCTCTCCACATGCATGCCCAAATAGTACTTCACATCTCCCATCTTGGAGCACTTAAACTGCATCTCCACCATCTCCTCCACAAGCTCAATCATTGCAGACGACTTAGAGAAGAGCAGGATGTCGTCCACATACACCAGGAGCATGAGAAACTGCTCCTTCTCTTGCAGCAGGAACAAGCTGTGATCACACTCACTCTTCTTGAAACCCCCAGCCAGCAGTGTCTCCTCCAACTTGTGGTACCATGCGCGAGGAGCCTGCTTAAGGCCATAGATGGCCTTCTTGAGCCTGCACACCCTGCCGCTCCCATCATCCAACCCCTCAGGCTGCAGCATGTACAGCTCCTCTAGGATGATCCCATTGAGGAAAGCAGTTGTGATGTCCATCTGCTTGATCCTCCATCCACGGTTTGCAGCCATTCCCAACATCACCCTTAGTGTAGTCCCTTTCCCCACAGGAGCAAAGATCTCGTCAGAGTCCTTCCCCTTTGTCTGCTGAAACCCCTTTGCCACAAGCCTTGACTTGTAGCGGGTCTGCTCCCCATCAGGTCCGTACTTGTGCCTGAAGATCAGCTTGGAAGAAATGGCCTTCTTCCCAGGAGGCAGCTCACACAGCTCCCACGTTTCATTCTCCAGCAGAGAGTCATACTCCTCCTTCACACTCTGCTTCCACTTCTCAGCATCGGGCCCACTCAAGGCCTCAGCTAGCGTCTTGGGCTCAGGGACGGCTGCCCAGTAGCAGTGTGCTATCTCTTCCTCATCACACTGCTCAGCCACTCTCCCAGCCCGTACCACCTTTGGCTTGCCAAAGCTCGGATAGGTCAGCCGGTTAGGAGGGCGCACATCCCTCCTAGGACGGTCAGCCGGACGTGCGGCACCTTGTGGAGCATCTTGCTGCTGCTGCTGCTGCTGCTGCTGCTGCTCCTCCAACTCAGGTTCTCCCCCATCCTCAGTCACCCCAGAAATCTCCTCCTCTGAGACAGTGACCTGCACTTGCCTCGAAGGCCGCTGCACCTCATCGGCCTCAATGATCAGCGGTGTAGTAGGAAGCTTCTGCTGCTGCTGCTGCTTCCACTCCTTGTAGTACAAGGACTCAAGGAAATTCACATCCCTTGACACAGTCAGCTGCTGGCTGGTCAAGTCCCATATCAACCAGCCCTTATGATCCTTAGCAAGCCCCAAGTGTACTCCCCATCTCCCACTAGCCTCCAACTTTCCCCTCTTCTCCTTAGGCACATGAAACACCACCATGCAGCCGTAGGCTCTCAGCATGTTGACTTCTGGTGCACTCCCATACCACTTGGTGTAGGGGACCCACTGCTTGTCCCCCACAGCCGCCAACACCCTGTTCTTCACAAGGGCGACCTGCCGCAGTGCAGTCACCCAAAACGGATCCGGCAGCCCTGCACGCCCAAGGAGAGTGCGAGCACCTTCTTGCAGGGTCTGGTTGAACCGCTCAGCCACGCCGTTCTGCTGAGGGTTGTAGGGCACTGTGAGCTGATGCTGGATCCCCTTCTTCTTCAGCACCGACTCAAAATCAGCACCAATGAACTCTCCCCCATTGTCGGTGCGGATCACCTTCACCTTGTGTCCGCTCTCCCTTTGAGCTCTCGGCATCCACTCCTTAAGAACAGCCGCTGCCACTTCCCCCTTAGTCTTGAGAGGGTACACCCACACGGCACGCGTGTGGTCGTCCACAATGGTTAAGAAGTAGCGGCTGCCCGAGAGAGAAGGGGCCCTCGTAGGGCCCACCACATCCATGTGCACAAGTGCGAGCGGGGCCTTAGCTGGTCCCGTGCCGCTGCTGAACGGAAACTTTGTGAACTTGGTCTCAAGGCATGTAGGGCAGCTTCCAATCTCCTTTGCTGCCCCCTTCACCTCCAACCCCTTCAAGCTCCCATCCTTCACTAACTTCTGCAGCATAGGAATGTTGATGTGACACAACCTCTCGTGCCACATCTCCCAATCGGCATCACCATTCCCAGATGAAGCCTTTGCCAATGCAGCAGTTGCATCCACACCAGCAAGCACCTCACCATGTGGCTGCTGTGACTGCTGCACCTTCTTGACTGCATCTAGGGCCCCATCGGATGGTGCAGTCTCCTCTCCTCCCGCAGTTGTTTTAGCCGTTGCTGCTGCCGCTGCCGTTGCTGGTGGTTTCCCATTCCAAGGGATGATGGGCAGCTGCCATAGGTCCTTGATGCAGCTGCTCTTCTCCTCCAAATCCCACAGCAGCAATTTCCCAAGCTTTGCACGGCAGCTGGTTGGGCCGAATGTCACTTTGGCCTTGCTTTTCTGCAGCCGGCGCACAGAGAGGAGGTTAGCGGACAAACCTTCAACCAGCAGTACATTCCCCAGCCCCACAAGGCCCCCATTGGCTCCCATTACCTTAGCATTCCCAACACCAATCACAGGGAGCAAAGCACCTGAAGCGGCAGCCACAAACTTGATCTTCCCAGGGGGCTTTACCTCGTCAAGCAAATCTGCCCGTGGGGTCATGTGACTTGTGCAACCTGAATCTATCACCCAGTGAGTGAGGGGGTGCATCACAACCTTCCCAACTGAGCCCACATCACCCTCACTCCCTTTCACATCCTAAACCATGAGGAACATCCCAGGGTTGGCTTTACCTTGTGCACCATCACCTTGTGCACCTGAACCTTGCACAGCGCCACCTCGTGCACGTTCACCACTTGGCGGCTTCACGCCTGGGGGCGCCCATCCCTCAGGCCGGCTGAAACACTTGAACCAAGGGTGTCCAGCCTTCTTGCAGTACCAGCACGCACCCTCCATTCGGGTGCTCCCCCTGCCACCAGAGCTCCCATGCCCCTCATTGTAGTCACCTCGTCTCCCTCTGCCAAATCCTCTCCCACGGCCTCGGCCTCTCCCTCCCCCTCTTCCTCTGCTGCCTCCTGCAGCTCCATACCCCTCAGCAGTTTTGTTGGCAGCACCACCACCCGTGTGGCGCCTGCGGAAGTCCTCCTGCAGAATCTGCTGCCGTAGCCACTCAGAAGTCCACTGGTCCTGCTGAGTGTTGAGGGTGGGGATGAGGTTGTTCCATGAGTTGTCGAGCACCGAGATAATCTTGGTGCACTGCTGCATCTGCGACACATTGCTGCCCGCCGCTGCCATCCTTGCATAGGTGTCCTTGATCTTGTCAAGGACCGGCTTCACATCATCGCCCGGTCGCATGGAGAGAGCAGCCAGCTCCTTCTCCAACACAATCACCATCGGCAGCGTGTTGGGCTGAATCACGTCGCGCAGTAGCTTCCACGCCTTTGGTCCGGAATCATCCAACTCCACCAAATCCTTGATGTGTTGGAACATGTCGTTGTTGACCGATTGAAGAATTAGGTCGTACAGCACCGCGCTTTTCTCAATCCACCGATCGCGGGCGTCGCCTTCCTCCGGCATCTTCTCTTCTCCCATCGCAAGTTTCAGCAGCTTGTAGCGCTTAAATGCACTCCGCATCCGCCCGCTCCATTCCTCATAGTTGGAGCCATCCAATGCCTCAATATTGGATGGTGGCCGCTCATTTCTCATCTCAGCTGCATCTCCACTCCCTTGACTCATTTCCTCTGCTCCCAAGCACAGGTTCCAGCTCCCCCCTTGCTGTCCACACCGAAGTCCCACTCAATTTTCACAAGTGTCGGCGCCAACGAAATTTCGGCAGAGTTTCCCCTTAGCGGAAGTCACATGCAACCTCCAGAACTCCACTTAGGCACGCCCACAGGCCATGGTGGGTCTAGGAGGGTCTTCACACTTCAGTAGACTCTCCACAAAGTCCTTAATCAGCTCTGATACCACTTGTTAGAGACTAAGGACGGAGTCTATGAAGATTAAGGGCCGAAATATCTTAAAATCGTCAACTATAATTCAGGACAGAAAAGTCGTCGTCACAAGAAACGTCGTCGACGATTAACGCACGATTAGAATTCTCTCAATCTCGAGTATGTTGTAGCCCTTTACCGTGGCTATCTTTCCAATTTGAATAGTATCAAAATATGGAGTATAACTTGAGTTATGACCTTCGGCGCACTAGGGGGTATGCTGCCATAGAAAACGTAACTCAATAACAATAATCTCACAAGTTCACACAAGAAAGTTAGAGTAGCAATAGAACCAGGTAGGAGGGGATGAGGAGGACGAGAGGGGGGAAGGTCCCAAGGGAGTCCCCAACCAAGGACACCCCATACCACACAATTCCCCTCTCTATAGGCACCCCAACTTTGACATTTGTCACTTTCCCAACTCATGCCATCCACCTCACCCAACTTGGCCACACTTGCCAACCTGGTTTGGCACCTCCCATCCACTTGGCAGCATCTACAGTGATGTTGCCAAATTTCCCAACCCCCAAGAGTCTGTACTCCTTATGGAGTCAACACCACAACTTCCCATAGTCACCACAACCAAATATCAAAAGCATACGAACTTCCAACGTTCGTAACTTTCTTGTTCGTGCTCCGATTGAAGCGATACTTGGTTCGTCGGAAAGCTCTTGAGCAGAGGAGTCACTTCAGATATCTGCTCAAGCCAAATATCATTCACACACACTCAGAAAAACCAAAACAACACCAAACACACATTCTTACACATGCTCACACCACGCATGCAACACACGAACATATGATGGGAGGCAGACAGACGTGAATGCAAATGATAGCATCACATAACAGCGGAGACCGTAGACTGGCCGCTGGAGGCTCCACTGGGTACCTGCAGGAAACGACCTAGTGAAGCCAGGTGGGCGGCGCAGCCAGATCTCCTCGTGCAGGCTGCCCTGCAAGAAAGCTGTGCTGAAATCCAGAGAGTGCAACTCGTAGTCACGCTGAGCAGCGACGTGCAGCAGTACCCGAAGAGTGGTCATCTTTGGGGTGGGGAAGAAGGTCTTGAAGTATTCAACCCCCTGTCGCTGACTGAAGTCTCGAGCAACGTAACGCGTCTTGAAGGCAGGCGGAGAACCCGGCGGCCGCTTCTCTCTGAAAATCCACATGCCATCGACTATGTTCACCCGAGATGGGGGAACTGCGTTGACGTAGGTGCCTGTGGACTTCCAGGATGCCATCTCGGCATCCATGGCTGCCTGCCACTGAGAGGAGTAAGGAATCGTAATCGCCTCTGCGTAAGAGCGCGGGGTCGGGATGTCTGGAGCATCCAGGTCTCCCTTAGGGGCAAGCAGCATGGAAGCGAAACGAGGTACAGCAGCTGAAAGACACTCAAAGTCCTCCTTCCTGTCCTCGAGGACGTCCGTGCCAAGAGCACACTCACCCGCGACGGACAGAGGACTGGCAGACTCAGACTCAGCAACAAGAGCAGTGGCGTAGTCTAGACGACAGGCAGCAGCAAAGTCAAGCAGCTCAGCAACGAGGGCGGACGCAGCAGCAGCAGTGGCAAGGAGACGAGAGACTGTGGGATTGGCAGCACGAGCGCGGTCAGACTCAGGGTCAGGAACGGCAAGAAGAGAGGACTCAGGAGGAGGCGGCAGAGGAACACGCATTGGAACAGAGGAAGGACGAAGTGACATAGCGTGTGTGCCGGGGACAGGAGGAGAACGCGAACGAGGAACGCGACAACCAGTGGGAACAGGGGAGGCAGGACGAGACACAGGCGCAAAACGCTATGCAAGACCGCCGGTCTGCTCAGTGTAAGGAGAGGGAGCAGGCAGCGGGGAGGCCGGCTGTAACGACGGCTGCGACTGGTCAAGCGGTGGACACAGTAAGGGAGGAATAAGCCCAGTAGAAGACGGGACACCAAGAACCTGCTGTAGGAGGGGAACGAAGTACGGTCGCGGCCGCACTGTGCCGCCAGAGTCACAACTCCAGCACCTCCAGCTCCAGCGCCTCCCACGCCAGTGTCTCCAACTCCACCTCCTCCATCTCCTGCGCCACCTGCGCCAAAGCCTCCAGCTCCAACACCTCCAGACTCCGTAGGGTCTCCAGCTCCCGCGCCCCCAACACCACAAGTCCCAGCAGCTCCAGTTCCCCGGGTACGAGCACCTCCAGGACCAGTAGCCGCAGTACCTCCAGAAACATCAGCTCCAGCAGTAACTCCAGCACCTCCAGCTCCAGCGGCTCCAGAACCTCCAGGTCCGGGAGCTCCACTCCAAAGGCTGTTGGTGCAACCCTACGGTTTGCATTCGGCTTGTTGTCCGTGTGCGTGCATGCGTGTGTGCATGGAATGGCATGAGGGCATGAAATAATATATATTTCATGCTTACCATAGTGTGTGAATGATGAGGCATGACTTTGAATGTGTGTGTCGAGTCAATAGCGAGTTATCGCTAGTCGCATGTGACGTCGTTGTTTGCGTGTCGTGTGCGGTTTTCTATTTTGTCGTGTGTGGAACATTCGGCGTGTCGCAGGTGTGCGCAGCAGGCTTCCAAGAACTCAAGGAAGAATTTACCTTGAAGAACCAGAGCCTTGGTTTCAAGAATCAAGTGATTTCGAAGCTCTCCAAAAGGGTAAACTTTAAGATAGTGAGAATAGTTGCATTACTTTTTGTAGTGTAACATTTCTCTTGGTGTAGGCCCTTGTGGAGGGTAGTTTCGAGACCCTTCGTGGTTGGGGACAGTGTGGCACTGTTCCACATCACTGTACCTCGGCTCTTGGGGTTTGTAGGAGCTGGGAGTCATTCCCAACTCGTAACTCTTCCTATCTTGTGTTCTAAGACTATAGTGGCTGCCATAGTACCGTTCGTTCAAACCGACGTGGTGTTGTCAATCCTTTATCAAATCATGCAATCTAAATTGCTTATTGTAGGCGACGTCAAGACGCTCCAGATCCAAGTTGAATCAGGTCATTTGAAGCTGTGACCAGAACGCTGTCAACGTTTGAAGCCGCTGTGCAGAAATCCGTCTGTGCTCTCTATCTTTCGTTTTAGGCACATTCAAGCCTATTCTGACTATAACAAAGGCGTGCGTGCCGAACAAGTCACTCACGCAGCTGCTGCAGAGACAGTCTCGGCGAAGCACCAGCAGAACCTCCAGACGAAGCAGCACCCTGAGGCTCAACACCCCCAGACTCCGCACCCTCCGACTCAGCACCCTCAAGCTCAACACCCTCAGGCTCAGCACCCCCTGTGTCAGCACCCCCAGTCTCAGTACCCCCAGGCTCACCACCCCCGATCTCAGCACTCCCAGGCTCAGCACCCCCAGGCTCAGCACCCCTAGTCTCAGCACCCCAAGGCTCAACACCCCCAGACGCAGTACCCCTAGCAGCACCTGAGTCTACAGCTACCTCACCAGGCACAGCACCAGGGGCGGGGTCTACCTGAGAGACACCTGAGGGAGCAGGACCCTGAGGAGGGAGGGGGTCTACCGGAGGGGGACCTGGAGCAAGGAAGAGCGGCGAGGGTGGGAGAGGGGCAGAGCGGTAGGGGAAGAGACGATAAAAGGGAACCGACTCGTCAAACGTGACGTCCTGAGAGGGGAGGACACGGCGCAAGGTAGGGTAGTAAAACTTCCAGCCAAGCGCGTCAGGGACAAAGCCAAGGAAGACGAAGGAAATGGTGCGGGCGGAGAGCTTGTCCGCAGACGTATCGCGAACAAAGGCATGAGAACCCCAGACCCGGAACACCGATGCATCGCCAACCTTCCCTGTCCAACGCAGTGTGGGCGAGGTCTCAGGCGAGACACGGGGCCAGAGGTTGAGCTGATGCGCGGCGTACCGGAGTGCAAACGGCCACAGAAAATGGGGAGCAGCCGCATGGATCATGGAGGTACGAGTGACCTCCATGACTAAGCCAATGCGGTGCTCAGCAATCCCATTTTTCTGAGGGGAGTCCGGATTTGTGAACGACTGGAGAATTCCCTCCCCACGACAAAAGTCCCGAAGGAGGTCGGAGGAGAACTCACCACCTCTGTCAGAGTGCAAACGCAGGACAGGAAGGTCCGCACGGAACCGCTCGCTGAGCTAGAGACGGACTGCGCGGATCCAAGGGATCAAGACATCAACGACCTGACCCTTGCTGCGCAAGGGGAAGACCGTGGTGTACCGTGTGTAGTCGTCAACAACCAGCAGAAAGTAGCGCTCGCGGCCCTGTCCACTGACGCGGGCTGGGCCCCACACGTCCATGTGGAGAGTCTGCAGGGGAGCAGTCATCGGGGGAAACGAGGAGGAGTGAGGAGCTGCGAGCTGCCGCCCCTCGGCGCAAGGAAGGCAGGGCGGGGCAGGCGAGGGCGGGAGGGGAGGCAGAGACCTGGGAAGACCAGAGACAAGGAGACGGGAGTGCATGCCACGAAGGCGTGGCACGGAGGGGTGACCCAGGCGGTGGTGCCACAGAAGAGTCTGGTGCGACAGGAGGCGACACGAGCAAGGGGGTGCTACCGGACCTGACCCGGACACCTGAGCAGACGTAGCTACCTAAGGAGGCTCGGTAGCCAGTGTGTACAGACTTGACCCTGGTCGACGAGTAAACGTGGCCACGTGTCAATCCGTCCGTGTACACGTGCAGATCGACACACGCTGACCCCGAGGAGTGGTGGTAGTGACCATCGCGTCCTGGAGAGCAGCGGTACTCACCAAGTTCGTAGAGAACGAGGGGAGGTGAAGACCTGACAGTGAGCCGGACGGAACCGCCGGACACGGGAGAACAGTAGAGGAACAGGCAACGACCGGGCCCCCGCAGGGGTCAGCTAGTCGGACCGGGACAGGTGCAGGGAGAGGAGTGAGAGTGGTGCTGTCACGAAAGAAACAGCGTAAGGCACCTGAGTCTGGCGTGAAGGTGTGCAAGGCCTCAGCAGGCGCAGTACCAGGGAGAGTACCAGACTCACTAGCACCTAGAGCAGCAGCCGCTATATCTGGGTCAGGTGGCACACACCGGGAAGAGTCACCCTCAGCACTAACAGACATAGCATACATAGCAGAAAGGATAACATCAATGTCTAGGTCAAAGATGGCAACTCCAGGCCTAAGCAGATCTGCTTAGGCACGCCAAACTCGTCACCAAACTCAGCACGCCAAGCGTCGTCGAGGCGGGAGAAGCAGCGGTGCTGAGTGTGAAGCCTCCCACATGTCTGACCAGCACGGTGACCCGTGCGAATGACATACGGGCAGCTATCACTACCCCCAGACGTCCCACGCTGAAACAACTACTCACGAAGCTACTGGGGCGACTTGGTCTCGCTCCGACGCTGCTGCTGCTGCTGCTGCCGCTAGCCACCTCCGGAACCTCCACGCCAAGCTCCAGTCCTACCGCCACCAGTCCCACCGCCGCCACTGCCGCCACTCCCACCGCTGCCTCCACCGCTGCCACCAGAGCCGCCACCACTCCCACCACCGCCTTCACCTCCACTGCCTTCACCTCCACCGCCACCACCTCCACCGCCTCCACTACCTCCACTGCTGCCCCCACCACCACTCCCGCTGCCCGCTCCCCCACCCCTTCCACCCTTGCTGCTGCGGTGCTTCGCACTAGCAAAAGCAGCTCCGACGTCCTCAGCACTAGGGACGTCTGCAGCAGCAGCAGAGGCGTAGGAGGGGGCAAGGGGGGAGGGGGAGCACCCCTCAAAGAAGGGCGTGCGCGGAGTGCCACGAGCAGAACCTACAGCAACTGCACTAGTCTCAGCTGCAAGAAGGTGCTCCTCGAGTAGATCAACAGTGAGGGAGGTGGGGTCAAGTGAGAGAAAGTGGTCCCTGACAGAGCGAAGAGAGTCAGGGAGGCGAGTGACTATGAAGTAGAGGGTGATGAACGTTGGGGGGGGGGGGGGGGGTTCCTGTCCAGGAACTCAGTAGGGACGATAGCGCGGTAGCAAGCGTCACTAGCGCGCAGGTGGAAAACAAGGTCCTCTACCGTTGCAAAGGCTGACAGCTCGGGGAACAGGTAGGGCAAAAGCAGGCGGCCTAGAGCAGCAGTGGCAGGCGAGGAGTAGCGAGCGACGACAGCGTCGTACAGTGCCTGTGCAGTCCTGTGCTGTCCGAAGTGAGCGCATTCAGCTAACGGCAGGTGGTTGCGAATGGCTAAGCGGGCAGCAGCGTCGCGAGTAAGCCACTGTGAGCGATTCGCACTGTCAGCTGTGGCGGGAGGGGCAGTAGCGGCGCCTGACTCTAGGTCAAAATGCGAAACACTGTCCTTAGAATCGCTCAGTAGGTACAGCTGCAGATCGTCAAGCCACGTGTCAAACTGAATCGGTCTGCCCTCATGATCGAACGCGAGAACTCAAAGCGAAGCCATCGGGGTGCAGCACGCAGGAGCAGCAGTGGCAGCAGTAGCAGTAGCAGTAGTAGCAGCAGTAGTGGCAGCAGTAGCAAGAGCAGCAGCAGGGGCCGAGGGGCAGGGGTGTCAGGAGCAACGAAGGGCCTAGGGGCGACGGGCCGCGGGGCCGAGAACGATGGGGCCGAGGGGCCGAGTAGCCAAGGGGCCGAGGGGCCTGGGGCCTGGGGGGGGGGGGGGGGGGGGGGGGTCGGGCCGCGGGGCCGAGAGCGAAGGGGCCGAGGGGCCGAGGTGCCGAGGTGCCGACGGGCCAAGGGGCCGAGGTGCCGGGGGCCTGGGGGGGGGGGGGGGGGGGGGGGGGGTGGTGGTCGGGCCGCGGGGCCGAGGACTAAGGGGCCGAGGGGCCGAGGGGCCGAGGGGCCGAGGGGCCAAGGGGCTGAGGTGCCGGGGGCCTAGGGGGGGTCGGGCCGCGGGGCCAGGAAAGAAGGGGCCGGGGGCCGAGGGGCCAGGGGCGAAGGGGCCGAGGGGCCTAGGGCGACGGGGCCGAGGTGCCAGGGGCGAAGGGGCCGAGGGGCCGGGGGCCTAGGGCGACGAGAGGGGCCGCCGGGTGACGGGGCGACGGGCCGACGGGGCCTGGGCCTAGGCTAGGGGCGACGGGTCGCGAGGGGCCGTGGGGCCGAGGGGCCTAGGCTACGGGCGACGGGGCGACGGGCCGCGGGGCCTGGGCCTAGGCTAGGGGCGACGGGTCGCGAGGGGCCGGGGGGCCGAGGGGCCTAGGCTAGGGGCGACGGGGCGACGGGCCACGAGGCCTGGGCCTAGGCTAGGGGCGACGGGTCGCGAGGGGCCGTGGGGCCGAGGGGCCTAGGCTAGGGGCGACGGGCCGCGGGGCCTGGGCCTAGGCTAGGGGCGACGGGTGGCAAGGGGCCGTGGGGCCGAGGGGCCTAGGCTAGGGGCGACGGTTCGCGAGGGGCCGTGGGGCCGAGGGGGCCTAGGCTAGGGGCGACGGGGCGACGGGCCGCGGGGCATGGGCCTAGGCTAGGGGCGACGGGTCGCGAGGGGCCGTGGGGCCGAGGGGCCTAGGCTAGGGGCGACGGGGCGACGGGCCGCGGGGCCTGGGCCTAGGCTAGGGGCGACGGGTCGCGAGGGGCCGTGGGGCCGAGGGGCCTAGGCTGGGGGCGACGGGGCGACGGGCTGCGGGGCCTGGGCCTAGGCTAGGAGCGACGGGTCGCGAGGGGTCGTGGGGCCGAGGCTAGGGGCGACAGGCAACGGGGGTCGCGACGGGCGACGGGCGACGGGGGGCCGGGCTAGGGGCGACGGGCGACGCCAAGGGGCGACGGGACTAGGGGCAACGGGCCGGGGCAACGGGCCTAGGGGCGACGGGCCGAGCTAAGGGTGGCGTCGGGCCGGGGCCTAGGGGCCTACGGGTTGCGACAGGAAGTAGGGGCAGCACGAGGGCTGCAGAGGGCTGCTAGCGGGCTACCGCTGTGGTGGGCCAAAGGAAAAAAAAAAAACGGTCCTGGCGGAGGGCCTGCTCTGAAACCATGTCAGAATAATGAACGAGAAAATGAATGAACTAGCAAAGAGTTGGGTACAAGTACTAACCCTAATTGGGTTGTACCCCTTATGGGCTACCCCACTATAGCCTACACAATATAAGCTATACAACATTTTGACAATATCTAATTTGGGTGATTACTTGGACATGACTATAAAAGGATCCTTGGCTGAGTGGTTAGGAAGGCAACTTTGACTTTTGGACTAGGGGTGGCTAGAAGTTTCTAGCATGGGTTGCAAATGTTGCAACACCTAGGCAAAATCCAACTAGATTGGATTTTGCATGTGACACCTCAAGGACCTCATGATGAGGGTTGCATCTTTGCTGCTAGGAAAGTTCCTACCATCCTTCCCTAGCTCTTGGAGAACCAATTTCCCTCTCATGGTTCTCTTGGAGTCCCCAACTCCAACATTCTATGCCTTCATGCTTGTACTTCCTCTACCATTCTAGTCATGCGGCTGCTGGACGTTTTCAAGTGGTTCTCACTCTCTAGACATTTTTTCTAAGTTATTGAATTGAAGATGGTAGCTAAGCCTCAGGCGCATAATCCTAACGAGCGGATTTCTGTTTAGTTGAGAAATGAGTTCATCGTAAGCTCTCAAAGTGATGGATCCTGACCAACACAAATACGTGACCAAATTATTCAAAACTACATTCTTTTTTTGTTCATTTTGGATATTGAGGATTTCAAAATTACATTTATTATTCCGGTTTACAACAACCATTATTCAGCATTCTAGTAACAAGCATTCTTAGCACCAGGTCAAATAGCCTACGCATTGCCGGGCCTTGCAAGCGCCCGGTGGGCAAGGACGACCTCTCCAAGGTCGCCATCGTCGATGAGGAACTTGTTCGGGAAGACGAACGCACCCATAGCCGGATCGCGAGGGATCCTCCACTCCACGACAGCAAAGTGGACCATCTGTTTGACCTTTTCGCACCACTCCATGTAGTCTGGCATGTTTTGTTCCGGCTGGCTACTAATTCGCTTGCGACGCTTATCCTGCAGAAGGGGCTATTCGATCTGCAATGTGGTGTAGGGTTGGGTGTATGGTTTATGAGGAGGGTGGGTTACGGGTAAAGGAGCCAACTGAAAGCGGTGATTCAGTCGTCACTATCTACGTAACTCCAAAGGCTTAATCGACCAGGGATTTAGCTGAAGTACAGGCAAGGGGTTAAGGGGATGAGGCATGGGGGTACAAACACATATCTACATCCTTACGGAAAACAGGACCCATGCCACCATGCGGGTCTTGAACTTGGTGAATATGACCTCTTGAAGGAGATCTTGAACGCATAAGCGAACAAGGGGTTGCTAAAGGGCGTCCCGGTGGCCTTGTCAAAGTGCCAGTTGAGGGCCCACTGTTCTACATTTTGGCAGGGAGGGTATGGGTTGGAAAGGGGGTGTAGAGAAATCAAGTGAGGGGATGAGAGTCAGGGTGAGCCACATCGCACTGTGATATGTAGCTGCGAATTGGCATATGGTGGGGCATATGGTGTTTTCGAGTTGCACATACCATCTCTGTACTCGGCTAGGAGTTGCTCGTTGTCAAACCACCTCGTTGGGTGTAGCTCAGTGGGCAGGCTATCCACGAGATGGCTGTAATCGACAAGGCCCATGCCGGCGTATGCTGCTGGCCTGAGGGTGGAGTTGATGGTTGACCTTGTTGACGACATCTGGTGGTTGAAGACTCCCATGGTTGACTTGTCATTGTGCAACCACAGCAGCTTCATTGACTCGAGCCCTTTTGCAGACAAGTGGACAGAGAACGCATCAAACACTTCCTCCGGTGCAGGGTAGTACTGCATCCTCCTGCATCCGCCACGTCCACCAACAACCCGCCCCACTTGCCATGTCACACCCCCCCACCCCAAGCCACGTCACCCCCACCCCCTTGATACGCGTCGCCTCGTCATGCGCCGCTCTCTTGTAACCATCCAAACCGCCACGTCATCCCCAACCCTCACCTTCCGCCACGTCACACCCTCCTGCATCCGCCACGTCCACCAACAACCCGCCCCACTTGCCACGTCACCCTCTCCCACCCCAAGCCACATCATCCCCCACCCACCTGACATGCCTCTCTTCGTCATGCGCCGCTCCCATGTACCCTTCCAAACCGCCAGGACATCCCCAACCATCACCTTCCGCCACGTCACACCCTCCTGAATCCGCCACGTCCACCAACAACCCACCCCACTTGCCACGTCACACCCCCCTACCACAAGCCACGTCACCCCCCACCCACCTGACACGTCTCACTTCGTCATGCGCCGCTCCCGTGTACCCTTTCAAATCGCCACGACATCTCCAACCCTCACCTTTCGCCATGTCACACCCTCCTGCATCCACCACGTCCACCAACAACCTGCCCCACTTGCCACGTCACACCCCCCCACCCCAAGCCCCGTCACCCCCCACCCACCTGACACGCCTCGCTTCGTCATGCGCCGCTCCCGTGTACCCTTTCAAACCGCCACGACATCCCCAACCCTCACCTTCCGCCACGTCACACCCTCCTGCATCCGCCACGACCACCAACAACCCACCCCACTTGCCACATCACACCCCCCCAACCCAAGCCGCGTCACCCCCCACCCACTTGACACGCCTCGCTTCGTCATGCGCCTCTCCCGTGTACCCTTTCAAACCGCCACGTCATCCCAACCCTCACCTTCCACCACGTCACACCCTCCTGCATCCGCCACGTCCACGAACAACCTGCCCCACTTGCCACGTCACCCTCCCCCACCCCAAGCCACGTCACCCCCCACCCACCTGACATGCATTGCCTCATCATGCGCCGCTCTCTTGTACCCATCCAAACCGCCACGACATCCCCAACCCTCACCTTCCGCCACGTCACAACCTCCTGCATCCGCCACGTCCACCAACAACCCGCCCCACTTGCCACGTCACCCTCCCCCACTCCAAGCCACGTCACCCCCCACCCCCTTGACACACGTCGCCTCGTTTGTTGGAGGTTGCGTGAGGCAACTTTGCCCCCAACCACCGAAAGGTGTTGGCTTGGTGCTCACTTTTGATTGAGCTGCAGGTTGGCGTGCGGTTGAAGGATTGACTTCGGAAGACCCATCGATTCGGTGCCACATGGCAGCATCAGGAACATTCGAGACTCAAGGAGAATCCGGTTCGGTGAAATTCGAGTGTCGAATTTCACCCCTTCGAAATGTTACTCGAACTTTCGCGAGTGTAGCGGTTCGAGGTTACTTTTGCGACTCGAGGTTTGTTGCATGCTATAAATCTGTTTGCTTTGTATTGCATGAATCATAGTGAACATTGGAAACATCTTGTACATGACACAACTCGTCAAAATTCCAGAGAGCTCCTAATCTCTATTCCTAGAGCATAGTCTTCACGTTTCCAGCTATAGGTCACTCGTTTCTCAGGCGAACGAAGAAATTCATGGCTCGTTGGAAAGCTAAGACAGAGCTCTAGTGATTACTACAAATCCCAGTTCCTGAAAAGTAGAGAGCCTTTACAACATGCGCCGCTCTCTTGTACCCATCCAAACCGCCACGTCATCCCCAACCCTCACCTTCCGCCATGTCACACCCTCCTGCATCTGCCACGTCCACCAACAACCCGCCCCACTTGCCACGCCACCCTCCCCCACCCCAAGCCACGTCACCCCCCACCCACCTGACACGCGTCGCCTCGTCATGCGCCGCTCTCTTGTACCCATCCAAACCGCCACGACATCCCCAACCCTCACCTTCCGCCACGTCACACCCTCCTGCATCCGCCACGTCCACCAACAACCCGCCCCACTTGCCACGTCACCCTACCCCACCCCTAGCCACGTCACCCCCCACCCACCTAACACGTGTCGCCTTGTCATGCGCCGCTCCCTTGTAGCCTCCAAAATCGCCACGTCATCCCCAACCCCACCCTGGTTGCCACGTCAACCCCAACCCGCCCCATTTGGCCCGCCACATACCGGGAATGGGTTTGTCTCCTGCAACACTAGCACTCGTGCCTTGTCCATGGCACTCATCGGCGGCGGGGTACCAGCCATAGGCACCACTCCGAACCCCCCGGCATAACTGGCAGGTGCTCCGCGACACAGGCCGAGCTGAGCAAACATGGCGTACATCTCAGACCGTAGCGCCTGGAACTCCTCCCGTGTAACAAACTGCTCGTGCTCCGCACTTTCACCTAGGGCACCCATGAGATTGGGAAAAGGGTGTGAAGAATCCCCCCTCTGGCCAAGGGGATCAACGTCTTTTGCAGCAGTCCCGTGTGCCCTCACACTATCACGCTGGCGGGAAAAGTTCAGCTCAGGGAAGGGATTGGCAGAAGTGCTTGGCTGATGCCCGCACGAAGGACCGGCGAGGGGGGAGACCGCCCTGCCCCAGACAGGAGAAGCATGGAGCTGTCGATATGGGAATGAGGGTGAGGCCAGTGGGGAGTGCGTGACGTGGCCTGGTGGAGGGGATTCGGATTCCTCTCCTCTTGGTGCGTCAGGTGCTGTAGCAGCGACTTTAGACGGGCCGGAGTATGGCGTGTAGAACCTTGGGGCTCCTGTGGATTGCGATGTAACAATCGCTCTTCATGCCCCCTTCGTTATCTGCATCCGTTGCACGCTTACCGGTGGCCCAATGCCCGTAACACGAGGGATTGAGATTTATAGGGAGCAGGAGCACAAAGTTGGAGTTGATTACATTCAATACAAGGGCACACATGCATGCATACGAGCAGCAGTTTGAGTCTAAATCGGGTTTAGCAGGGTACTGTTTTGTAATTAGAGGCCGTACCTTGCTTTGCAGATTCGTCGACCTTCTCCTTCCTTGCAGGGGAGAAACAATGTGAAGAATGGTGTTAATTGGCACGATTGAGCAGAGAGTAATACAGCCACGCTATGTGTATGGGCCACAGTGCTTACCTCGCTGCTGTCCCCTCGGTTTTTTTTGCTGCCTGCGCCTTCTCGTTGCCACCTTTTCGCGGGGTGCTTTGGCGGCCGCTTCGACGTTTACCGGCAGGTTCTTTCTTGCCGGAACCCACTGGAACCCCTTTGGCGCAGCCACCCTTTCCTTCTCCATCCCCTTTTGCGCCTTGGCTTCCTTGTTTTTTACCACCCCCTTCAGTTTCGACCTTCACTATACGCGCCTTCGATTTGCCCGCTACTTCGCCACGCGGGGTGTCAACTGCCCCCGCGTCCGGGAATGGCGAGTCCGGCCCCCCAGCTTCCCTGTACCACTCCCCTGTCTGCCTCGCCCGCCCCGTCCCTTCACCGCCGCCACATCCTCCTCCTCTTCCTCTTCCGCCCCTTCCTCCTCCTCCTCCTCCTCTTCCTCCTCCTCCTCCTCCTCCTCCTCCTCCTCCTCCTCCTCCTCCTCCTCCTCCTCCTCCTCATCCTTGTCGTCCCCCTCCTCCTCCTCCTCCTCCTTCTCCTCCTCCTCCTCCTCCTCCTCCTCCTCCTCCTCCTCCTCCTCCTCCTCATCATCAGCCTCCTCCTCCTCATCCCCCTCATCCCCCTCATCCTCCTCCTCCGCATCATCAGGGTCTTCTTCGTCCCGTTTCGGCCTCTCCCCCTTCACTGCTTGCTTGCCCCTCCTTATGCCGGATGTTTTCCTCGCTCCGGTTCGGTCCTTCTGGCGCAATGCATGACCCGTCGCCTTGCCACTTGCTTCCCTAGCGCCTCGCGTTGTCCCAACTTCCGCACCACCGGCGTCGTTAGCACTGCCTGACGTCTGCCGCCTCTTCGCCCGCATAGTGATGTCCCCAGCCACGGCAGTGTCATACTCTTCCTCCCCATCGCTCTTCCTCGGCCTACGCCTCCCACGTCCTCCAGAAGGAGGAGAGCCACTGACGTCGGCGATGCCGTTTTAAGGGTCCTCCATAGAATCATGCTCCCCCACCTTGTCCTTATCTACCACGGCAGCAGAAACTTTGACCACGGTCGGCTGGAGCAGCGTCAGATGATGTTGCGATGCCTCCGCCTCGGACTACTGGGTTGCGGCATGCTCGGCGCGGGGAGCGTCCCCGTGGTTCCCCCCTGTCGCCGAGCCCTCTCTCTCCGCCGACGGGACTGCAAGACTCACGCTCCCTCGCCCTGGATCTTCTTTGCCGCCGATATTGCTGTCGTTTGTCAGACCGGGCTCGGTTTCACTAGAGGCAACATCCGCATCTTTTTTCACGGTAGAAACACGCTTTCGTGGCGTTGGTTGCTTCCCCTTGTCTTCCGCCTTCTTCCCGGACTTCTCCTGTCCAAGCGCAGCCTTTTTTCTGTTGACTGCCACACACGGCGGACGCATTAGTAGCTTTAGATCCGCCACCACCCCCCCGATCGGTCTGAAGAGACACCCTCCTTGTCGCGCGTCGTCTGGCTTGTTCCTCCTCCTTTTCTTTTTGCCGAGTTGCACGTGTCATGGTTGTAGTACGAATGCTAATCTCTAACATGCGGAACGGTTGAGTCGGTTTCCTAGGGGAACCGCAAATGAATGCAACGAAGGGAGACTCAACGGTCTATTCAATCATCTCTCTCCGAAAACCTCCGCTTCAATTAAAACTGAAATAGTAGTCACTAAGCACAGAGCTACGGCCCATTACTTAGTCGACTGGTGAGTCACGGGCGATCTGGAAACGCCAGTGTCAAGCAGCGAGCAACGTCAAAGTTGTGGGCCAGAGGGTGACGGAAGCAGGTGGGTGGGGCACAATGGTGGTTGGGGTGGCTTGCGAGACTAGAGAGATGAGTGTAATCAGATCAGGCTAGATCGGACGGTGTACATTTAGCCACCCCAACATAAACCCACTCACTGCTCGATCACAGCCGCTTCAATGGCGGATGTACCGCTTGGCTGGTGCTTGTGTTGCAAGAGGGGTCGTTTGAGATGCGTCAGCCAATCAATGTTGCCAACGCATCAATCACTGCACATGCTAGAATGGTTTCTGAACCACTAGAGCGTTTGTAACCTAAACCCTGCAAAGTACAATGCTGACGCGAAGGAACAACGTTGCACATACAAGCTAAATAAATTTCAAAACTACAACAAATACAATATTTAAAAAAAATGTTGCTAATGTAATAGTATGGGGTTGTGGTAAGGTAGTGGGTTTGTCTCATGTCACACACACAAAGAGCACCCAATACTATTTCTTCTGACAATTGTACTAAGCACACGTAGGCTATGCACAACGGTTGCACATCGTTGGACAATATTCTAACACGACGATCACTAGTGCCAAACGGGAAACAGTTGTGGTATGGTATTGTATTGGGCACAACTCTTGCATGAACCTTCAACAACACACACAAAGGGCGTGGTATGAATCACAGGGCTATAGCTCAAGCGGTGATGCGTTATCGACAGCCATGTCTTGACAGAGCGACGTTGCGGCGTTCAGGCCCATGTGTTGCGCGACATGGTGAAACCGTTGTGGTAAGGTATTGGATTGGCATCAATTCTTGCGTGGACCTTCAACAAGGTGCATAAAGACCCTGGTATGATGCACAGGGCTAAAGCACAAGCGGTGATACGTTATCGACAGCCATGTCTCGACAGGGCGACGTTGCAGCTTTCAGGCCCATGTGTTGCAAGTCATCGTGAAACTGTTGTGGTATGTTATTGGATTGGCCTCAATTCTTGCATGGAACTTCAACAAGATGCATAAAGACCCTGGTATGATGCACAGGGCTAAAGCACAAGCGGTGATGCGTTATCGACAGCCATGTCTCGACAGGGCGACGTTGCAGCTTTCAGGCCCATGTGTTGCAAGTCATCGTGAAACTGTTGTGGTATGTTATTGGATTGGCCTCAATTCTTGCATGGAACTTCAACAAGATGCATAAAGACCCTGGTATGATGCACAGGGCTAAAGCACAAGCGGTGATGCGTTATCGACAGCCATGTCTCGACAGGGTGACGTTTCAGCGTTCAGGCCCATGTGTTGCAAGTCATCGTGAAACCGTTGTGGTATGTTATTGGATTGGCCTCAATTCTTGCATGGAACTTCAACAAGGTGCATAAATACCCTGGCGTGATGCATAGGGCTAAAGTACAAGCGGTGATGCGTTATCGATAGCCATGTCTCGATAGGGCAACATTTCAACATTCAGGCCCATGTGTTGCAAGTCATCGTAAAACAGTTGTGGTATGCTAATGGATTGGGCTCAATTCTTGCACGGACCTTCAACATGGTCCATAAAAGGTGGGGTGTGAACCCAACGGCTAACGCACAAGCAGTGATGTGTTGTCGACATCCATGTTTTGACAGGGCGGTGATGCAACAATCAAGGGTTTGGTTTGCATCCAACGCTGAAACCATTGTGTTATTGTATTGGATTGGGCTCAATTCTTGCATGGACATTCAGCACGGTGCATAAAGGTCCACTGAACCTCTTGAGAAGTGATGATATACATATTCGGTTCATGCAACAATCTTACGTTAAGGCACGGAGTTCTTGGGTACTTCCTGTATGTTTTCAGACCACACTAGAGAACGGGGAGGGTTTACAAACACTGCCGTTGTCAATTAGGGGTTTGTTATGAGCAGGCCCTAAAGTATGGTTGTAGAATAATTATAATTGAATTAAGTTTCTATGTAAAATGTAAATGTACATTGTCATTACCTGGTTTGGATTAAGGCTCTAGAGGTGCGCACCACTTTGGGCTCACCTACGTGATTGCGTTTTCCCACCTATAGCGACTCTCGAAAGAATCACAGCACCAAACAGATCTCTTCCGTCTCTTCTTCATCCCCCTCGACTCTCACGCACGATTCAAAAACCCAAGTTTTGAATGAAGAGGCACGTACTTCTCACCGTGCTCGCGATGCACACTCGCGAACAAGCGTGCTATACTCCAGTGCATTAGGCCCTGCTCACATCATGGTCGCTCTTAAAGGGGGTGACACGCCTTGTAGGAAAGGGAAATGCCATGCTGGGGCGGTCTGTATCATGCCTTGTCACGGCCGCACAGCTCGACCATCGTTAGCCAGTCCCTAACACTAGCGCCATGCTCAAGTGCCAGTCGTGCAAAGATACAAGCTGCCATGGACAGTTCGTGCTTTGGCGATGACCGTGTTGCAGTCACAACCTTCTTTGACCGTGTACTTAATGCGTTCACAAACTTCAAACTGGCTAGTTGCTTCATACTGCATTTCTCCACTCTTAAACAGATCCGTAATACATAGGCTCTTTGCCATGTGTTTTCTGCAAGTTGTGCAACAGATGGTTCCCCAACGCCCAAGTTTATGGCGGACATAAGTCACGGCAGACCCCTTGTCAAAGGCTTTCCGCCGTGGCAAGGCCCTTGCGATCTGTACCGTCCGCCGGTCCACACGGACTGCTATTCGTCCACGACATTCTCTCTGACGCTCCCGGTGCTCCCGCTTCACCTACCGCGTCTAACGCATCCAACGCCGTCAGTATGAGCGGTCCTCCTCGCGTGCTTGAAGCTGACGAAGATGAAACACCCTCGGTTGTGAACGAGGGGGCTCCTGAAGATGAACATCAACCGCCACCAAGAACACCTGCAGCTGACACGAGTGAGCATCCCGAGAGCCAGCCTGAAGGGAGTCATGCCTCGCCACCGACAATCATCTCCAGACAGAGCGATGCCACGCCCCTCAATCCGCTCGCGTTGAAGCTGCTGTATTTTGTTCGGCGCGTGAATGGCGGAATGGGAATGGCGGAGGTTGACATCAATGGCCTGCTTTAGCTCGTGGTAGAGCCCGGCCTTGCGCCCCTTGTGACCTCGGAGCTCCGGAACTGCAAGGATTTGGAGCGGTTTGAGATGGAGTGCTTGGCAGGGCTCAATCGCGGATGGTCGGTGGTGACCTTCGAGATTGACGGTCATCCGCCACAGCGCCTGCTCTTCCAGAAATGAGCTCAGGTAAGCCGACTCTGAATCCTTGGCAGTGAAATGCTGATGCGGCAACCATGTGGTGCTTGTATAAAGTTATCTTCGTTATCCTTATATGAGATCTGACCCACCTTCAACACCACTAACCATGCCCCTCTTCTCACCTGCCTTTGCCACTGTACACCAGGCATTCACTGAAATGTTTGGGCATCCCAACAACGCGCTCGACTTCAAGCTCAAGGCGCGTGTCGATGAGGACCCTGACACACGCGACCGCCGCTATACCACGCCGGAAACAGGAACGTGGTGGAATGATGCTCAGGTAAGGAAATACCCCGTTGCCACGCAAAACCCGATCCGTGCTCAGGCCTCCATTGCTGCGCTGATGTGTGAGGAGCATCTTGAGTGTGTCATATTCGTCGCACATGCTATGATGTTGGTTCAATCCGCCAAGCAACAAGTTACCTTGGTGGTGTTTGACTGTGTGTCCATTGCCGCCTTGTTGTCCATTGCAGGAACACTTCGGATGGACCGAAGTCGTAGGGGGAAGCATCCTATCTTTGGATGTGATGCACATGAGCAACAACGGCCGAAATAAGGCGTGGCCGCTCATGATGACGCTTGCCAACATCTCCCAGGCCAAGCGATGGGGGAAAGCCAGGCACACACTACTTGCCCTCCTTCCTATCCCCCCTTCTGCAATGTCTGCCGTGGAGAAGGTGATGCTCTTCCAGCAATGCATCATCACCGTGCTGCAGCCGCTTCTCGATGGCATGGAAAGGTCCGTACCCGGTGTTGCATCTTGCTATGTCGTCACCCAATCACCTGCATAGTATGCAAAGCGTCTCTGTATGTAGCAGTCCCCTTTGCCCCTCTTCGTACATGCACAAATCCGTCCTCCGAATTTCTGTTGCCACTCTACCTGTTCCTTGCAGCGGGTTCCGTCTCAAGGACCCTTTTGGTGATTAGCAAACCATGCGGCCCCTGCTGTACGCCTGGGTGTGGGACTAGCCCGAGAGCGGCAAGATCAGTTGCACACTCTCGCATGGATCGCGGATGCCGTGCAGCATCTTCTATGCTGCAAAGGTGAGGTTACATGCCATGTGCGCGCCTTCAAATACATTGTCGTTTGAATGTAGCCTGATAGAACCCATAAACTCACCACCCATACCTTTGTATCCCATCCCACACCCTCGTGCTACACCAGGAGCATCTGGTTGCTGTCAAGGCATGGAACACGCCGCGCATGCCTCAACAGGAGCAATGGATCATTAACGAGGCGGCTGGGATGACAACTAACCAGGACAACCCGTGCAAGACCTACTCGACCTACCCTGTTGAGGTGAGCGACATGCTGCCCGGGCTACTGTGCAGTCTATGCACTCCTAAACCCCCAGGAATGGTCAGATGTGCTCTGCCCCATTGAAATCACCCCACATGTTGTTTACGTT